GAACACATGGTGGGCTTTGTTGGGCCCACCTATACTTGGCCCCAATCTCCATCTGTACAGCTTAATTACACCCATTACGAGTTTACGACCAGACAGCCTATTGCCACTTCATCGTCCTATTTCTGAATTGTGACCATTTCTTTCGGTTTTCATATTCACATGCCCCAAATCATTATAAAAAAAATTCATCCAAAAATGAAAATCCTAATAACATTTTTAATATATTATCATTATGACTTTAAATAAATTATTATTATTATTATTATTATTATTATTATTATTATATAATATAACTGTTTATTTAATAAACAAAATTTACTACCTTCAATAAGTCGGCGGGAAATTAACAAGTACAATCCCACGTTACTTTCGTTAATTGAGAGGCAACACCGCTCTCAGTTTTGCATGACGCCCGCCACCCATGGCTCAAGGCTCCCCCATGAACACTGAACAGAATCTATTTTACATTTACATCACATATATGTATGTGCCCATCACGTGATCATTAGTTTCATTGTCACAAATGCCCCCTCAACGTGTCGTTACATTAATATGACAGTTCGCCCTACCATTCGTCTCTATACACGTGTACAAATTGTCTCTCAAGACAGTAGCCAATACTAATGACTTGGCTGGTTCCAAAACTAAAAAACTGACACCTGACGGTAAAAGGAAGATCTATTCACTGTCGGTTGCTCTAGGCAACCGGTTACCCCAGTCGACACGCCAAGAACCATTGCCTCATTGTTTATATAGAGCTTTTGATTTATTAAATCGGTCCATTATTGACTAAAAGTTAAACGAAAGTCATAAATTTCAAATTATTTGAATTTTAACTAAATAAATCTGACTAATATCATTAGTAGAGTAGAAAAATATGAATAATATCATAACAATAATTAATATGACTAGAAAAAACTAATATTTTCTTAAATACTTTTTCTCATGATATATTTTTCAAAATATTAAAAATAATATCGGATTCAACAACTTTACTAATTTTTCTAGGAGTTAATCGTTAGACATGCTTAATCAATCCCCTACTGTCTAGATATTAATCAACTATTAGCCAGTATTTTCTTTGATTCATTTTATTCACATGTATTTAAGTTTTGTTTTTTCATAAATAAATTTCATTACCAAATTCCTATTTTTGAATGAATATTAACTTGGTTTATGTTTGAGTTATTTGATAATTTTACATGTAAATTTCACTAGTTAACTGTCACTTATATATTCAAATCTAATTTTACGCTTTTGTTAATTGAGAAATTTACATATGAATTTCATCACCGAATTAACAATATTCATCTATTCAATTTGTATGTTAGGTTTTTCATGTATTTTATAAACATGTCATGTTAATATGCATCTTATATTTCTTTCTTTTGTTGCTACATTATTTATAAGTTCCTCAAACTCATATAGGAAAACTTACGTTTCAAAGTGAATCACTTTGCAACGACGTTGATTCTCCTTACGCTACTAAATGAGTAAATGTCACCTTCCCAAGGTCTTAAAAGAAATGAAATCGTTTGTTAATCTTGTGTTTCAGTCTATAGAGGAAGGTGTTGAGTTCTAAAATATTTGGAAAAATATATACAAAATTATAAAGAGTGTCTTGGGGTGTCAAACCCAACAAACAATATGAGTACAAAATACTCCAAAAATACATTGTTATATTATACTAAAGGGTAGTACATGACAAACATGGTCGATCGACAGGGACACAATGTCAACACCTATACATTTTTGCGTAAGGTAGTTTAGCCGCAAAAAAGGGGAATTTATATGCAATGATTTAAGCAAATGATTAAAGAAGCAAGCGAGTGGTTAACTAAATAAAATAAATTCAGAATTTATAAGGATTTCAATTCTATTTATGACAACTTAGTAATCTGAATCAAATGTAACATGATGTTTACTAACTTCTTCATAAGTTAGTACTTGAAAGTGTTAACAAACTTTTCTCATTCACCAAGTTGTCAAATTCAATAAAACTCTTTGAAAGCAACATAATATTCTTATTTAAATATAAACAAGCTCTTAGATAGAAATCAAAAAGTTGCATTAAGTTTGAGGTGAATGTTTTCAATACTCAATACTCATCACAAGCTCATAAGCGTAAGAGTGTAAGAAATACATGTATTATACGACTTAAAAGCTTGCCATCAACATCACTATTGTGGAAATCGAATCTCGTATCAATTTTCTAGCCTCCCAAGAACATAATCTCTTAAAAACATTAAAATGTCACTCCTTTTTTTTTTTGGTGCCTACTGCTTTGTTGGGGAAGCTTTGGTATCAAATGGGGTCAAATAAGTTTACTTAAGCCTTTTTTTAGCAAAATTGATTAGGACACTCCGCGTTCTATTAAAAAGTATATCGTAGATTCAAATAAATTTTGTCTTATTTCGAATGGTCCTAACTTTCTCATACAAATTTAAATTTTGACAAACTTTATATCCACAAAACAATTTCGGAGTGAACTACAACTTTCTTTTAACCATCATGTTTACTAAAAACTTTTAAATTTTCTCTAAGAATGCAATAAGTACAAGAACATATATATTACATTACTAAAAACATTTACGCTCCACTATTTGAGGTTACATTTTAAATGTATTTAGTTGAAATACATACTATAACACATTGTTTGAGATTCTCATGTCATTGCAGTTTAAATTTTTTATTTTAAAGAAATAATTTATTAATTTTAAAGATATACCATTAAACATTTTGAAGCTTTTTAGTTTTTTCTTAACTTGTAACTTTTATTTTTTATGTAGTTTTATATTTTATAAGTTTCATATAGTAAACACTTTACACAACTACAAATTTCAACTTTAAGTTATCAAGTCATTTTGCCATTAGATGTGATTTTGAATAATTTTTTGGGCAAAATACAAAAAGCACAATCATTTATTTATCTATCATTTAGAAAAACCATTATATTTTGTTTATATGCAAAAGAACTCTTATATTTTCAGTTACCTTTCATATTTACCTCAATATACATTTTTTTAAAAGAAGTTATCAATTGTTTTATAACATACATTTATCTTGTTCGTGTTTAAGTTTACATTTAAGCGATGCAACTTATTTTTTCTTGAGTAAATGATCAATTTCTTACATTTTACTTAGGTAAAAGGCAGCATCATTTATTTTTATTTTCATGTTAACCTAAAAACGAAAAATATAGAAGTCATGTCACAAAATAACTAATAATTTGTTACAAAAAAAAAATAAAAAAATAAAAAATAAAAAAAAACCGAATATTTGGGTTAATATGAAAGGTTACTCAAAATGTAAAGACTTCTACATAAAAACAAAATGTAAAGGTTTTTTTTAATACTAATACATAAATAGTTGTGTTTTATATATTTTGCTCTATTTTTTTTTAATTCTAAAATAAAAGTTTAAGTTCGTATTTCCAAATAGTTTTTTAATTCAAAGTCCTTAAGGTGTTGTTTGTTTTTTTTGGAAAAAACATCTTCAAAACTCTTACTGTTGTGCGGGGCAGCACACACGCAACATGTTTCATCTCGCAGCTGTTTGTTTTTCAAAAGTCTTCGAATTAAAAAACTTATGTGCGTGTTTTTCTTGGCACAACACTTGTTTTGCCTCTTCCTAAAATATTGATTATATATTGTTGAAATCTTATTTCACATTTTTTTTATTCTTCTTGATTTTTTTTTTCTTTTTTTTTATATTGAATAATAATAATTTGTTGATGAAATAACATTATTTTATGTTAAAATATCTTTATTTTTTATTAAAATATAATTATTTTTTTTATTGAAATATCATAAACTCTTGACAAAATGTCATACATTTTTATATTTTCGGTATTAAAAAAACTATTTTCGGATTATAAAATTAGTTTATTTTAATTTTTTAATATCTGCAGCAGCCTGCAGATGTTAAAAAACAAACACGTTTTTTATTACAGTTTGCAGCCGTTTGATCCACTTCTTCTACTACAGAGAGTTGCAGAGATGGTTCGTAAATTTTATGGATTTTTGATTAAAAAAAACAAACAACACCTAAAAAACTAACAATTCATAAGAACTCATAACCGAACATATCCTCGATTTCAATATTTTAAAAGAGTATATTTCTTTCAAGTTTTTTTTTTTAATATATAAATAAAAATTTAACTTCGTTTTTCCTAACAATTTTTTCAATTCAAGGGTTTTAAAAAACTAAAAATTCATATTCATAACCAAACATATCCTTGATTTCGATATTTTAAGTGTATTTCTTTCATGTTCTGTTTTTGGCCTTTTGGTTGTTATTGTGTGTTGTTGTATCCTATTGGTATGGTTGTTCATCATTGTTTTCTTTTGACGTTTTATGTGGCATATTTAAATGATTTATAAAATATTTTTGTAATAACTTTGTTTAAAGTTTTTTTTCTTTATTTTTTTATGATGTTTTAAGAACAACATCATTTTCAATTATTTATTTATTTTGTTTGGTTTAAAATTAAAATCCTCGATATTCTTAATAGTGACGGTTTCTTCATAATTTATTACAATATATTATTAAAAGATAAACCGAAACAAAGAGCAAAAAGTTTCAAATTTATGGATTTAAATGAGTATTTAATGTAAGATGTTGGAAACTAGATTTAGCAAAACAAACCAACAAAACATAAAAATAAGTAATTCAAAATTAATATCTTAGTTGTATCAATATTAAATTAGTATTTCTATAAAACCCATTTTAAAAGAGTTGTGTTTTTGTCATTTACAGAAGCTGGAGGTTAATTTATGTAATTATGTCAAAAATGGAATGGTACTTGACCTGATAAAAGAAAGTATACCCTATATATCTTCTCAACAAATAATTACAAGCTTCTCTTCTCATTCTCCATCAAGCTGCCACCATAACACCCTTTTGTATCGGCGTAAAACCAACGAACAACCGAAATCATTGAAAACCCACCATATATCCCGGCTTTATTCCGCCGGAAAGCAACTAAATTCATCACCCTCATGCTTCCTCTTTTCGATACGCCTCCTTCCCCGCATAAACCCCAAAACCCAGAATTAGATCGGAAAAGTTCCTTCGGTTCACTTAAACCTTATCTCCCTCGCACATGGCTTATCTTCTTTGTCCTCTTCCTCCAGATCATCCTTCTCTTAATCGCTCGCAATTACCACATATCCACGGCCGTTATCATCCCCCAACACCTTCCTGAAGTGGCCGCCATCACCGCCGTGGACGGCGGCGATACCGAATGCCCGTACGGTAAGGTCTTCGTCTATAACCTGCCGCATTTTTTAAACACAGAATTGTTAGAAAATTGTCATGAATTGAATCCCTGGGGTTCTCGTTGCGATACGTACTCTAATGATGGTCTTGGACGCCCTGCAACAAAGCTAGCCGGAGTGATACCGGAGAGTCTCACCGGAGCTTGGTATTGGACGGATCAATTTGCATCTGAGATTATTTATCATAATCGGATGTTGAACTACCGGTGTAGAACGCTAGACCCAGAATCTGCTACGGCGTACTACATTCCTTTGTACGCCGGCCTTGCCGTCGGAAAATATCTATGGACGAATAATTACACGGCGGAGGATCGTGACCTTCATTGCCATACGATGCTGAAATGGGTTCATGATCAACCCTATTGGAAAAAATCCAACGGTTGGGATCACTTCATTACGATGGGTCGTATCACATGGGATTTCCGCCGGTCTAAAGACGATGACTGGGGTTCCCGATGCATCTATTTACCTGGGATGAGAAACATCACGCGCCTCCTCATCGAACGGAACTCGTGGGACTATTTCGACGTCGGTGTTCCGTACCCCACCGGATTCCACCCCACCTCGCCGTCAGATGTCGAAACGTGGCAGGAGTTCGTCCGTACACGTACCCGTACCACCCTTTTCTGCTTTGCCGGCGCGACACGTGGCCTCATCAAGAATGATTTCCGAGGACTCTTGCTAAACCAGTGTTACAACTCCTCGGGTTCTTGTCGGGTCGTGGATTGTGGCGGGTCAAAATGCTCCAACGGTACGTCGTTGATACTTGAATCTTTCCTCGGGTCGGACTTTTGTCTTCAACCCAGAGGCGACAGCTTCACCCGGCGGTCAATTTTTGACTGCATGATCGCCGGTTCAATCCCGGTTTTCTTCTGGAACAGAACCGCTTACTCACAATACGAATGGTTCTTGCCGGGTCAACCCGAGAGCTATTCGGTTTATATCGATAAGAATGATGTTTTAAATGGGAAATCCATAAAAGGTGTTCTTGAGAGCTTTGGGCAAGATGAAGTGAGGAGAATGAGGGAAAAGGTGATACAATATATTCCAAGAATTGTGTATGCAAAACCTCATCAAGGTCTTAAGGGTATGAAAGATGCTTTTGATTTGGCTGTGGAGGGAGTTCTGAATAGAATCAAAGATCAAGAGAGAGAGGGATTCAAATGGTAATTATTTTTTTTTGCATTGTTTATTTAAACATTCTATTTTTTTTAAAATATATATATAAATGATTGTGAAGAATTTGTTTTGGGAATTGGGATTATCATGATGATGGGCAATGCGGATGGTAGAAATTAGTTGATAGATATACGAGATCTATCCAAGAGAAGTGATACGATGAATTTTGAGTTAAGTGGTTATGGTGGGTGATGCTATAAATGTAAAATGTGTACAATTTATATTGACTTGCTACAAGTAGATAATGACAATAATGGTCCTTGTTACATTGTTTGCAGTATATATTATCTATTATATTATTGAGATTTGTTTACATCTAAAGTGTGCTATCTTTGAATCCGTTTATGGAAATGTTTTTTTTTTTAAAGGGTAATATGCCTTTTAACAATATCGTAAATATGTTTCTTAAAATTAACTTCAAGTACTTATGGCGTGACTCCTCTTTAATGAAAAGCGAATAAATAATGATGAAGTTCGAGTGGTGTAGGTGGGCTACCAAAGACCAGTATAATGTATGTTTAAGATTTAAGACTAATTACCTTAGTGCCTTCCATAATTTAATTTCAAAAACTTAGTAAAAAATAAAGATCTCAAAAAGTGTTATGCTACTTTTGGGGTTCCGTCCTGTATGGAGGTATTAGTTAAAAAAATTGGTTATAAGGCGGTAGAAGTGCACAAAACCCGGATCCGATTCGATCCAGTTTCGCATACATCATCAAAAATCCGATCCGGATCCTGTTAAAATCCGATCCGGTTCCAAACAAAATTTGAATCCGATTCTAATCCAATTTGAAACCGGTTTAAATCGATTTTAATGGGTTTTAATCGGATTTTGGGACGGATTTGGATCCAACTTTTTGACTGAAAATCTGGTTTTAAATCTGATCCGATCCTGTTTGGTCAAAACCGATTTTGATCCAATCCGGATTCGGATTGGATCCGGTTTTGAATAGCGAAACCGATTTTTGTGTGCATCTCTATAAGGCGGGGGCGGGGGCAAGGTTAACCTTCCGTTTTAATTTTGGAGATAAGTTGTCCCATCATTAAAACCCCCATGGGCCCCATTGATTATATATATATATATATATATATATATATATATATATATATATATATATATATATATATATATATATATAAAATAAACTATTGCATTATTTTGAGTTTCTAAAATTCAACCAAAAACATGTTTGTAAGTTGGTATAATGTTTATGAGATGTCATAATATTTTTGTTTTTACCATGTAAAATTTTACTATAAATAACATTATTTGTTAGAACGAATAACAATTAGAAAAAAAAAAAAAAAAAAAAAGAATCAGCCGAAAATCATCCGGGGGCGGGGTGGGAAGGCTAGAGGTTTCGGGGGCGGGAGCAGGAGCTGTGAATGGGAGAGGTTTGGGGGTGGGGGCGGGGGATACAATCTCATTTTCGTTTGCCTCCGTTAACATCCCTAGCAAAAAATAGTACACCAAATCTTATATTAGGTCATTCATTATACTCATCATTAACAATTATAGTGGTGGGTATCACATCATCACCACAGTTCCTACAACTAACCATGTGATATTTACCACTAATTGACTAAACACATAACTCCACCTCTTTTTCTTTTAATAAAATTTAATTTAAAAATACATAAAATAACATATAATTTTTTTAAGAGTAAATTACACAAATGGTCCTTATGGTTTGGGATAATTTGCATGTTTGATCCCTAACTTATTTTTTAACATGGAAGGTCCCTACCGTTTGTTTTTTTACGTGCTTGGTCCCTACTGTTTGTTTTTATTACGTGTTCGATCCCTATCTTACCTAAAAAGACTATTATTTAAATAGAGAAAAATGATGGAGTATGTAATGTAAGGTGAAGGGGGATGGGGTTGGAGGTATATTTATTTAAATAAATTAAAAAATTAATGGTAAAATAGTCTTTTAGGTAAGACAGGGACTAAATAAATAACAAAACCAAACAGTAGGGACCTTTAGAGTTAAAAAATAAGTTAGGTACCAAATGCGCAAATTGCCCTAAACCATAGGGACCATTCGTGTAATTTACTCTTTTTTTAAAACTAGTTTTTCATTAAATTAAAATACCACATACATTAAAAAAAATAGATTAATTAAAATTAAAAATAATAATAATAATAAAAATAAAGCACCTAAAAATACCAAACATAACTAAAAAAATTACCCCTATTCCTATATGGGGATCGAATCAACTCTTTCACTGCGAGAAAAATCTTCCTTCTCCTTTGAGATCATCCGTTTTCATCTTCAAAATCTTAATGTCGTTTTTTGTTTGAAGCATTGTTTACACTTTTAGGAATGACATTTGCGCGTCTATCATTTTTGTTCCGCCGAATCAATATCTTTCGCATTGGTTTCTTGAATGTGGACATATCGATCAAATTTCTCTCCAAAATGATCGATAGCACTAGAACCCGAAGCCGATGAACCCGCTTTTTTTGCTTTATTTCTTTCAACTGGCCGATGGAGAGGTTGCTCGTCTTCAAGATCGAGCGGATCATCATTGATGTTGATGTGTGTTGACCCGTTCGATTGTTAGAAAGTTGCATCCGGGTTTCCTGAGCACTTTGAACTGAAAGAGGTTTGTGAAATTCTTTCCGTTTGCTCTTTCCATTTTGGAGCGTCTTTCAATTTTATCCACTGTGTCAGGTACGAAAAAGTTTTGCGTGCTTGCATTGTTATTTCAAATTGATCCATGACCACCTTGAAGACATCGAAATTGTTTGATCCACTTTTGTGTATGTTTTTGAAAGTTGTTGTAAATTCCTCCTAATTTGGTGCATTTTAGTCGAATATCGTGCCACTTATAAATAATTTGATCGGGATTTACCCTTTCACTTTTCGTTGACGAATAAAATACACTTTGAACTTTCTCCCAAAAACAATTCAATGTTTGATTTTCTCCTTCAATTGGATCTAGGGAAGCCGAACCTTAGCTCCAGTGATGACCCTGATGTTCACTCCGGTAGAATCGAAGTCTGTTATGGTGAAGATCGATTGAAGGCTTAGTGTGGATGGGATGCATTCCTTCTTTTTCCAGGGTTAGGAAAACCCGTCATTGTTTTTTGTTCAAACAGAAACCCATATCGATCTTTTGGTTAAAAACCAAGTTCATCCCTTGCTTAATAGTTGTTAAATAGATCTAGAGAGAGAAAGTAATGAAGATGAAGACCGGTGAAGATGAAACTGATGTTACCTCGATGAAATCGAACCCCAATCGATTTCGCCGCTCCTTTCCTTCACTTACCATCGCCATCTTCGTCTTCAAAGGTTCACGAATCATTGTGATGAGTAATTTTATTTATTAGAACTGAACTTGTTTATAAAATTGAAAAGGTTGCTTGAAATCGGTATCTAAAATCGATTTTCTAAGTCGAAATGTTTCTTGAAATCGGTTCCTGGAATCAACATATATGTTTGAAATCAGCATATAAAATCAATTCTCTAAATCAAAATGTTTGCTTGAAATTAGTTTATGAAGCTGTTTTTCTAAGATGTTTGCTTGAAATCAATTTGAAAATCAAATTGTTTTCTTGAAATCGGTTTCTAAACTCCTAAAGTACTCTTTTCTTCCCGAGGAACTGGATGTCGGTGAAGGCGGTCAAGATGACCAAGGTATCACCTGATTATCATCTCTAATCATCTTATCATCTAAATCTATTTCATCTTCGTCTCCGTCGTAATCATCATCAAAACCATATCTCGTGGAGTTAAAGATGATCGCCAAGAACCCATCGATTTATGTGTTCCCAAATAAGGGGTAGTGGTGCTGTGATTTTTGGAAGTTGTGAATCAATGGTGGTTTTTGTTGCTATAAGATACCACACAAACACACCTGGTAATCCACACAAACACACCTGACAACGATGAGTCGACTCACCTGCCTAGTTGGCAGCTGACATGACACTGTAACCTTCAAAAATAGATAAAGGTACCAAATTAACCGGTAAAACACAAGTTAGTACCTTTTAAAGGCAAAAAATAATCACGATGGACCATTTAAACCAATATACTAAACATTGTTGGGATACAGTAACAATAACCCAAAATACATTTGGTATAAAAATGAAAAAAAAAAATAATAATAATAAAAAAAGTCATAGGCCACCAATGTTTGTAAGCTTTTCAAAAGTCTTGGATGCCGATGTTTAATTGCCTTGAAAATATGTTAGTTATTTTAAAATACAACAAAATATTGACAGCCATTATTTTAAATTACTAACAAAGTATTGGTAAAAATAAGTGCAATACCGATACCGCTCGCTTTGTCTTCTGAAAACTTTTAGTAACAGCAAAAAGCCTCAAAGCTATTTAACTAAAACGAGATCAAGAACTCTAATCAATTTTAGGGATGACAAATCGAGCTATTGTGTCGTGTTTTTGTATGACAGAGCCAGGTTTTATGTAACACGAATACGTGAGATGACACGGAGTCGTGTTTTTTTTAACTAACACGAAAACGAATTAATTACAAAACGATAAACACGACACAACACGACAAAGATAATGTAATATAATAATTAGTTTATTTAATTAATATTTAATTATACATAACACGAAAATACACGAGAAACACGACAAACAAATGCTAAATCGTGTTAATTTCATGTCCAATTTTAAAACGAACACAACACAACTCGTCATCGTGTTTTTTTACACTTGAGACGATCACGAAACGAACACAAATTCGAATTTTAGTTTGGTCCTAATTCCGTCCCGTATTGTATATTTTTTTCGTGTTGTGAAATCGATTGCACCCATTATCAATTTACAATGCATCGTGAAGGAACTTATAGATAATATAATATGAAAAATATAGAGTATAATCAAAATAAGAGAAGTTTTATGAACCGTAAATAGCAAAAAGTAGAATAAAACTTGCAACTTTGGTATTTGAGTGCCGACTCCAATCAAGTCAATAAAGTATATCTCACCGGTATACTAGTTTTCAAACCTGAGTGTTTAGTAAAAAATTCGCGTGGTTTTTATCTCATAATACCTAGGATTAATGTTTTTTTTTTTTTCCTTTTTAAATTTAAATGGGTTTGGACTATATTAATTT